ATATATGTGTGTGTGTGTGTGTGTGTGTGTGTGTGTGTGTGTGTGTGTGTGTGTGTGTGTGTGTGATCAGCAAGAGAAACATTTACATAACAGGTCCCATGGGGGAGTGGACCTACATCCTTCTAGGTACCATTCCAAGGTAAAGAGATTTTCCTCAGATACATCACATCCAATAACGACTCCTCATAGGTGACCTAAATATTATACATATAATTATAGAGAAGAATCCGCTAAAAGAATAGGGGGTGGTAGGAGAAGAAAATATCAGTGTTCAGTGAGGATACACAAGGTCTTCTCTGGGTACTCTTTATTTTCTTCTTCGAGGCTATGGGTCCCTACATTTGCATCAGAGGTGGTACCCCTATTAGGATATAACTATAATATATATAATAATTAATGAATATAGAAAATAATGTTAGTTTCATATACTAATATTAATATATATATGCTGAAACTGAAATAAACTTGTCTGGTTATCGTATTAAATGACTTGAACGAGCATATTTTAAGCATGGGAGGGAGTGAATCCTAACAGAACGTGAACCACAACTAAGGTCTAGTTATGAAATAAAGCATAATATTTAATGATAATGATGTTAGGAAAACTGACTCGTGGGATTTAATTATTTATTTTAAAACAATTATTAATTTCATTAATGTATTTTAATTTATAATTTATGTATAATTAATTTCTTACGTTAATTTATTTGTTTCGATAGCGGATTGCATGAATTTAAAGTGGACTGTATGATATTAAATTCCCACAAATCGTTTCCTACACAAGCTGGGGGTTTATTAGTGTATTAGTCTAGTCTATTAATCGAAATTATCGGTTGGTAGACAATTCACTACAATTATACTACATGGGTTAATATTTAGTTATATCACTATAATTATATACTTCAGTTATACTGGTCCTTGTTGGTGATGCCAGTGTAATCACAAGTCACGTGTTGTTCCGGGTAGTTATTTCTTCTTCCCCTTCAATTTCACCTGTCAAAAGGCACCCACAATATTAATTGTAACCTATATATGACAGTTATATCAGAGAAAATGATTATTGAAATTGTTTAATTGATATTTACCCCTTTGGGTGGCTCACTACGTTTCCTCACCGGTACACCTCTAATCTACCTACATTACTGGCCAGGAATGACTAGATTTAATGTGTTATCGGGTATAGAACACTTCCCTTATTGTTGACGACGATCGTGCTGATGATGGGAGATTTAAAGCTCCCATAACACAGCATCTAGAGGGAAATAATTGTGGAGCTTCAAGTGTGCTGTAAGCGAGACTTTATGTCAAATTTATGGCATCTGCCTCACACTCACACTCGGGCGTCTTCTCCAGATGCATTTTATCAAGAAGTGGAAAGTGATTTTATATTTAATTTGTTTTAGTACTGATAATTAACTTCGTTCAAGGGAAGTTTTTGTATGATGTTTATAGTCCAGAGACAGATTTTTTTTATTGGAGGACATATTTTAATTTTTAGAATTAACAGATAATAACTTGTTTGCTTATTTTCCGACAGCCCGAACCTTAGACGAGCATAATACACAACTTTATTTCAGAAGAACCATAAGGCCAAGACGGTCAGTAGGAGACACCAGCAGGTGGGAAGCCCACTTTCTGTATAAACACTTTCTTTTTATAGCTAAACAAAAACAATTAATGACAAAAAATCTGCTTAACAAATGCAACTAATTGGTAAACAAAAGCAACTAATTGGTAAACAAAAAGAAACTAACTTTGAAATATAACAATGGGAAAGCAAATACAACTAACAACTAAACAAAATACAAACAAGAAGTCTCTAACAGTAAAACATTTGTAGAAATAGCCTAAGCTTCTCTATCCCTTTGAGATGTATTTCTTTCTTATCTCAATAAACATACTTGAACTTGAACAGTGAAACAACAACAAAAGTAGCTGCTAAATATATATATATATATATATATATATATATATATATATATATATATATATATATATATATATATATATATATATATATATCGTACCTATAGCCAGAATGCACTTCTCAGCCTACTATTCAAGGCCCGATAATATATAATATGTTTTTCGTCTATATATATAACCTAACCTAGCTATTTTTGGCTACCTATAACCTTACCTATAAATATAGGTAGGTTAGGTTAGGTAGGGTTGGTTAGGTTCGGTCATATATCTACGTTAATTTTAACTCCAATAAAAAAAATTGACCTCATACATAGAGAAAAGGGGTTGCTTTATCATTTCATAAGAAAAAAATTATAGTAAATATATTAATTCAGGAAAACTTGGCTTATTAGGCAAATCGGGCCTTAATAGTAGGCAGAAGTGAGTTCTTACGGTACGACATATATAGCCAAACTTCGATAAAACAAAAAGCCTATAAAACGATGCAACAATTTATTATTCGATAAAAACACACACACAACAAAAATATTGAATGAGAACAATTATTGCATGTGCCCCTTGGGAAAGGATCTAGGGTGTATATATAGCACTTAGCTCCAGGATGTGTTGCAATCTGCAACAATCCTCTTGCCATGTCCGTGCATACTGTTGCCGTCCCAACAGACAAATGTTTTTTTCGCTACAGCGTGTAATAAAAATATTTTGTCTTCGTATTTTTTCAAGTAATTTCATTTTATAATTTAGTTTCTTACTGTAGGTTAGGTTAAGTTTAGGTTTAGTTTATATTAGGTTAGGTTAGGTTCAGTTTTAGTTTATTTTGAGGTAAGGATTGGTAAGGGAAGGTTTAGGTTATGTTAGATCAATTTCAAGTTATGCTACGTTAAGTTAGGCCAGTTAAAGTTAAGTTAGGTTAAGCTAGATAAGGTTAGGTCAGGTCAGGTTTAGGTTAGGTTAGGTTAAGGTAGATTAGGATTAAGTTGGGCTTGATAGATATAGCATTTTGGATCCATATACTAATATTTGCATTTGGATTCAATCTGACTTTGTTTTTGTTTGCAAACAGGAAGCGTTTTATGTTAATTGAGACCCTGCTACGACAATGGCAGACCTTTTCGAACGTGCAAACCATAACAATTTCCTGTTATGCAAACCATAACAATTCCATGTTATGCAAACCATAACAATTCCCTGTTATGCAAACCATAACAATTCCCTGTTATGCAAACCATAACAATTCCATGTTATGCAAACCATAACAATTCCCTGTTATGCAAACCATAACAATTCCATGTTATGCAAACCATAACAATTCCCTGTTATGCAAACCATAACAATTCCCTGACTCTCAGGTACCTGTTTACTTCAAGGTAAACACAGGCATCATATCAGAGCAAACAATGCTCCCAAGCATCTTCCTTCTGCTCGGGGAATCGAACCCAGGAACTTTCGATTATTAAAATTCTGAGCTGATCAATGGAGAATTGCAGACTATTTCTTTATGCATTATCATAATTATTCCTTGACCATCGATCATTTATTTCCCTTTGTTCGTGAGTGTAATGAACACTAGGGGTAGTATACACGAGTGTAATGAACACTAGGGGTAGTATACACGAGTGTAATGAACACCAGGGGTAGTATACACGAGTGTAATGAACACCAGGGGTAGTATCCACGAGTGTAATGAACACCAGGGGTAGTATCGCTGAGTGTGATGAGCATCAGGGGTAATATTCCATAGTGTGATGAACACCAGGGGAAATATTCCCTAGTGTGATGAACACCAGGGGGGGCAATATTCCTTAGTGTGATGAACAATAGGATAATAGCTTTGGTTGGTGGGTGTCGGAAGTGTGGGGTGGGACTCCTGAGGTCAAGCACCTGCAGGAGGGGCTGTTAAGGCTATGGAAATAGATCCACCAGCAGGTTTATTTGTGCCCTGAACTATGTCTAGGGCTTCGTTAAATTTTTTCTGTATATACAACGATAAATGTGGAACACACATCTCGGGGTATATATGGATTGATTCTTTTTATCCGTGACTGTAAACCGTGGAATACATGGAATTGTATATTGTTCCTAATTACTCTATGGTATTGTGATAATTCATTTTTCATTATTTTGATTCATTCACCGTGGAGTGAAACTAATACAAATTTTGATGAATGTTATAATGAAAAATGTATTCCACGCTTGCAGCGCTTTATATTTTTCAACAATATGGTGTAAACTGATTTTATTTTGTTAAACCTTTCCTAATATCTATCGAAGATACGCTATTATGAATTTCTTCACCGGATCATATTTTACATTAATCCTACTTTAGTCTGTTAACTCATGGCATATATAACACATTAACGTGTAAGTGAATATTTCTGCCTTACTACCCACTAGCGTCTCTCTTTGGGCCTGAGCTGACTGTGATCACGAACTGGGTGACGTCCCTGCAAGCACTCAACGGGACGGTCCCCTATGATTCCCACGTTACAACTTGTAATCATGTTGTTATATCTTGTTATAACGTTTTTATAACGTATTAAAACGTTTGTATAGCATATCATTACGTCTTTATGACGTATTAGAACGTTGTTACTAACTTGCTATATTGGTTGTTGCAATTGTTAGAAGGTATAGTGACAGTATCCAGAGCTATGCGTGTTCCTTGCAACCCGTTCTCGCAAATTTAATAAGTCAATATTGACTTATTAAATATGTGCATAGGTGACATACTTAACATAATAGATACCCTTAAAAAGATTCATAGAAAACACCGACCTTACCTAACCTTGTTAGTATCTTAAGATAAGCATCTTATTGCTTCGTAATTACAATTATTACCTAACCTATAATAGGTATAGGTTAAGTAATAATTGTAATTACGAAGCAATAAGAAGCTTATCTTAAGATACTAACAAGGTTAGGTAAGGTCGGTGTTTTCTATGAATCTTTTTAAGGGTATCTATTAGGTTTAGTATATCACCTATGCACGTAGTTAATAAGTCAATATTGACTTTACGAATTTGCGAGAACGGGTTGGTTCCTTGTCAGTCACTCTCTTTCTCTTTCTTTGACAGACGGAGCACGGAGTGAACACCAGCACGTCGCTGGTGACAGTGACAGCCTCCAGGAGACATCACGGCCAGCGACTCACCTGCACATCAATCAATCCACTCTTTCCTGCCTACCCCCTCTCCGACTCCATCCTTCTCAACGTTACTTGTGAGTAGTGGCGCTCTGCGTGTGTGTGTGTGTGTGTGTGTGTGTGCGTGCGTGCGTGTGTGTGTGTGTGTGTGTGTGTGTGTGTGTGTGTGTGTGTGTGTGTGTGTGTGTGTGTGTGTGTGTGTGTGTGTGTGTGTGTGTACTCACCTATTTGTTCTTGCGAGGGATGAGGGTTGAGCTCTGGTTCTTTGGTCCCGTCTCTCAACTGTGTGTGTGTGTGTGTGTGTGTGTGTGCGTGCACGTAAGTCATTTACATATCTATATTTTCCTCCTTTAGAAATAAATGCTTAGAAATAATATTAATAATAATATTAATAATAACAATAATATTAATAATAATAATATTAATAATAATATTAATAATAACATTATTTCTAATGCTTAGAAATAATATTAATAATAATAATCATTGTAAAAAACAAGTGTAGGAAGACTAAAGCAAATATTAATATACAATTATTTATTAAAAATAATATTTTTGGTTTATTAAAAGTTTCAAATAATAATTATAGATCATTGCGTGGGGGGACAGGCAGCCAATGTACATTGTGACGTGATCTGGAATGGAGCAGTAACTATTCTGGCAGGTGTTGTGCCTAACGCACATTAATTAAAAACATTTTAAATAAAACTGCTGGAACCTTTCACTGTTTGTCACTTGCGGGAAAAGTACAGGAGAATAAAAACTTTAAACATTTAATATACCAATAAATTACTTTAATTTTACATAAAATGATAAGTAACAATTAATGAAAACAAAACCCCTTATTCAATTGGCTTAAACACAATAATAAAAAAAAAAATATATATATATATATATATATATATATATATATATATATATATATATATATATATATATATATATATATATATATATATATATATATATATATATATATATATATATATATATATATATATATATATATATATGATTTTTACGTTAATAACAAAAATGAAGGTAATACTTTATACAAAATGCTATGTGCGTCAACCGTCACCCGTAGGCGAGGACAGATGCTGAAGCAATGAGCACTAGAAGGGTAATCTTCTGCTCTAGAGGCTGGCAAACATTTATATATATAAGCCGTGACGTCATTTTTGGTGCGAGTGCTGGAGTTGTGGACGAGAAGCCGGCAAGATAACGACCATCCTGATGGTTTGTCTGGCCATGGGTGATCTGGCAGGACGGCAGGTGGTCTGTCTCTCGTGGAAGAGACAGACCACCTGTCTGGGTGGTGGGGGAGAGGTGTGTCAAAACACCTGTCTGTTGTTGATGATTTTGAGTTTTTATGTTGGAGTATGCTGATATATAGGTGGTAAGGAATAGGCAGTATCTACTGCTGTGCAGGAGATAACCGTAACAATATATACATGCTAGGCCTATATCTAGGTCACTACCACCCCTATCCACCAAGGTGTAACTACTACCCCCCCCCCCTCCCCCTACCCCAGGATACAACCTACACAACAAACTAACACAACTCCTGGGCACCTATTTACTGCTCGGTTAACAGGTGCATTACGCGCCCAGCATTTCTGTCCCACTGGTTGTAATTTAAAATCTCGCGGTCACTATTAAAAGAATGTCTATTATTAAACCAGCAAGTAGAAATTTTTTCCTGAGCTTGTGGATACCTGCAATACCAGTACTAGTAGTACTCTATGTACTTCTATATAGGTAGTGCCTTATACATGAGTGCTGATAGTGTTCCATGCACGAGTACAGATAGTACTCAATACACATTATGTTCTTCTTGAGATCGCACTTATTCCTTCTCTTTGCAATTTTTCATCATTCGCAAAATTGTTGGTATATCTAAAACTGCTATTTCCATTCCTATGATGATTCCATTTAAGAACGGTTTTATCTGTAATATATATATTACGTTGATTTTGAATATCAGTGAAAACAAAGCACGAACCATTCAATTTAAATTGGAAAAGTTTAGATTTAAAAATCTGTGTAAATCATAGCTTGGATTTTATTGTCGGAATCCATAAGGCTTTGGCTGGCCCACTATGTGTTACTCGTTTCTGACCTACATGGACGGCGTCTGATTATTTATAACTCGTATTTCCTTATTGGGTCGCGTAACTGTGCACTGTGTTAGATAATGTTCCAATGGTCTGTCGGGCATTTCTCCTCAGTGCTGACATTTCCTCTCATCTTCTGGAACATGTTAGCTTATTTCCCATGCACATGAAAATCCAAGTCTGACACCATGTAAGTGCACTTCTGTTTTTCCATTGTTCCCTTCTCATTAAAATAAGTGGTTCGTAGTTGAATAAATTCTTGTACCAACCCGCTGATCCCAATGTTGCTGTGTTGTAGTCACTTTATAGTTTGCTGATTTATGGAACAAATCAAATTACCGGTGAACAAAATAGAAGTGGGATCCTAGAGTGTTTCAGGATTTTATAGATATATGAATGAGTTTGGTTGGGTATAAATATGATCACCCTATAATACGGCAATCAATGGTCTCCTGCAGGCTTCTTCGTTCAGTTTTGTGTTGGAATTAGGGCCAATTTAACCTAAGGAAGTATATTAAGCAAATCACAATAATTTACTGATCCTCCTGAGAGTTCACTTCTGTCCTGAACATTGTCCTGGACAGAAGCAAACTATCAGTGAATATACACACATAAAAGCATTGTAAAAGTCTTAGTGAATATACACCTAGAAGTGGTGTACACCTCTCAGTGTATATACAACGTGGTGCAGGGAAGAAGGGGTGAGTTTTGAAGGGAGGGTGGCGTAAGTGTTGGAGGAAGGGTGGAGTGAGTGTTGGAGGGAGGTCTGGGTGACTGTTAAAGAAAGGGAGTCACAGCACGCAGGAGGAGGGAGTGGCAGAAGGCAGGAGGAGGGAGTCACAGCACGCAGGAGGAGGGAGTGGCAGAAGGCAGGAGGAGGGAGTCACAGCACGCAGGAGGAGGGAGTCACAGCACGCAGGAGGAGGGAGTCACAGCACGCAGGAGGAGGGAGTCACAGCACGCAGGAGGAGGGAGTCACAGCACGCAGGAGGAGGGAGCCACAGCACGCAGGAGGAGGGAGTCCCGGTACCACCAGCATTCGTTAGCAGTAACCTTCAGCATGGGTGAGAGCGTCTGTGGCAGAGGCCGGCCTCCCAAAAACCGTTATTGAAGTTTTACAACAACGAGGAAACACGTTTTCTAGAGTCTCTATTTTCCATGTTGTTTGGAAATTGAGCTATATATATATATAAATATATATATATATATATATATATATATATATATATATATATATATATATATATATATATATATATATATATATATATATATAATATATATATATATATATATATATATATATATATGTCGTACCTAGTAGCCTGAATGCACATCTAGGCTACTATTCAAGGCCCGATGTGCCTAATAAGCCAAGTTTTCCTGAATTAATATATTTTCTCTAATTTTTTCTGATGAAATGATAAAGCTACCCATTTCATTATGTATGAGGTAAATTTTTTTTTATTGGAGTTAAAATTAACGTAGATATATGACCGAACCTAACCAACCCTACCTAACCTAACCTAACCTATCTTATAGGTTAGGTTAGGTTAGGTAGCCGAAAAAGTTAGATTAGGTTAGGTTAGGTAGGTTAGGTAGGTTAGGTAGTTGAAAAACAATTAATTCATGAAAACTTGGCTTATTAGGCAAATTGGGCCTTGCATAGTAGGCTGAGAAGTGTGGTCTGGCTACTAGGTACGACATATATATATATATATATATATATATATATATATATATATATATATATATATATATATATATATATATATATATATATATATATATATATATAGGAGAAGTTAATATTAGTGTTCAGTGAGAAACCACAAGGTCTCCTCTGAATACTTTTTATTTTCTTCTCCGAGGCTATGGGTCCCCACATTGGCACCAGAGGTGGTACCCTCACAAACTTTATATATATATATATATATATATATATATATATATATATATATATATATATATATATATATTATATATATATATATATATATATATATATATATATATATATATATATATATATTAAATATGACCGAAAAATTAAGATTAATAATTCTAACACGAATTTTCTCTATCTTTCTTACGTTTCTTTTCACTGTTGATGGTAATTCAAAGATCAATTCTCCAAAATTCATTTTCATTTCTAGTCTGACGCGACACTTGAGCGCGTTTCGTAAAACTTATTACATTTTCAAAGACTTTAGTTTACAAACACACAACTGAAACTGAATAGAGCTTACACATCTTCGAGTTTATATCTACATTTGGGGGGAGGTGTATGAGGTGAAAACAAACTTTCAACAATGGGTATTGAATGGGTATTAAATTCAAACACAAGTCAGAACACGAAACAATGGGTATTGAATGGAAGTAATTGTAGAAAGCCTATTGGTCCATATTTCTTGATGCTTCTATATTGGAGCGGAGTCTTGAAGTGGCTAGAATATAGTTGTGCATTAATTGGCTGTTGATTCCTGGTGTTGACTTCTTGATGTGTAGTGCCCCGCAGACGTCAAGCCGCCTGCTATCGCTGTGTCTATCGATGATTTCTGTGTTGTTTGCTAAGATTTCTCTGGTGATGGTGTGTTTGTGGGAAGAGATTATATGTTCCTTAATGGGGCCCTGTTGCTTATGCATCGTTAAACGCCTGGAAAGAGATGTTGTTGTCTTGCCTATATACTAGGTTTTTTGAGGCTTACAGTCCCCAAGAGGGCATTTGAAGGCATAGACGACGTTGGTCTCTTTCAAAGCGTTCTGCTTTGTGTCTGGAGAGTTTCTCATGAGTAGGTTTGCCGTTTACTTGGTTTTATAGTAAATCGTCAGTTGTATCTTCTGATTTTTGGCTGTAGGGATAGCGTTCCTATTAACAATATCTTTCAGGACCCTTTCCTCCGTTTTATGGACTGTGGAAAAGAAGTTCCTGTAAAATAGTCTAATAGGGGGTATAGGTGTTGTGTTA